TTCTTTCAGTGCACCTATATCAGTGTAAGCGTGGGTGTCATTTCAAATACTTCTACAGTAGGGAAACTGGAATTCAGGCCCTCTGTGAAAATGGATTGCATTTCAAATTCGGAAAATACTTGTACATTAATGAGATAGGTACATTAATAAGGAGACATCCTTGGGTGTAAAAAACAGTTCTTGGGGCTCAGAGGCTATATCTGAGTTCTAATTGGGGGTTGGATAGAATATGTGTCTTTCAGGAAGCCACTCAATTACATACCATTTCAGTTTCCCCTCTTAAAATCCAGACGGGATTAGGCTACGACTACAGTTAGACTGTGAGTGGGTTAGACTGTGAGTGGGTTAGGCTGACTGAGACCACGTCAGACGGTGACTGGGTGACAGTACGCCTGGCCTTTCAAGTTTTGACTCTAGCATGTGAATAATCTAAAATGGCTAATCTCAAATCCCAACAAAACTTTTCTAAAATATAATGCAACATATTAAGATGTAGTTACTTATAAATTATGCCTCTACATTGGAGCACTTTATGATGATGTATTTAAATACATTACAAGGATGAGTTAAAATAAAATGTGCAGTATTTTAAAAGTAAGTTAAAAAAAATCTAATAATTTTGTGAGGACAAAAGCACAGGTTATTCCTTTTCAGACCCCTGGCTTAAAATCTTGCACATAGTGACCCAAAGGTAATTTTTAGGACACTTTTTTTTTTCCTTCCATTGGTTTTTATGGACTGACAAAATCAAACATGTTATCTTACAAAGACATGGACATCAAAGTGGGAAAAATTGATCATTGATTGAGTTTATAGGCACTCATTTCTAAATGTCACTCGCTATTGACACCAACAGCTAATAACAGGAAGGCCGTGGTTAAAATTCAATTAATCATTCCCCACAGTACTCGGAATAAGAGTAGTCAGCAACTTTGTCCCAGGTGTGTCAGGTGTCAGGGATCTCACTAGGCATAAAAGGACCAAATGGAACAATTTAATAATGAAATAAAGACAAGAGGACAATTTTCAGAGTCACTTAAAAAAAATTTCTACCTGGGGATTGTTTCTTTTAAATGTCAAACTTTAAATAAGAAGACAGAGAAAAGTTGAGATAAAAGGACAAAAAGAGTCTTGCATGCCCACATTAATCAAAAAAGGAAGCTTTTCTACCGCACAAATGTCAGACCAAGTGCATCGTAATGTCAGGACTCTCACTGCCATTAAGGAATTTCATAATGCTAAACTGCTAATTCAACAGAGAGTTACATTAATACTGCATGTATGCATACCAAGTATTATAATTTCCAAATGCCAAAATGAAAATTGATAGCACAGAAATTGAAATGCTGAATCCAGAATTATACTTGTGAATTTTAAATAACTTTCACCATCTGTCCAAAACGGATAAGAAGTTAGTAGAGCTATAGACCAAACGGCTTGATTATTTGTAAACTTGACCTCATCGCCATTTACGGAATGCGTAACCTTCTCGAGTTACAGGGAACATTTACCAAGCTTGAACATATTCTGGGCCATAATGTTAGTCTCAACTGATTTCCAGGCCTAAAATCATATTGAATTTATTTTCTGTCACTGGTAGAATTAAAGGCAAAAATAAAAAACAAACAAACAACTAGCTATATAATTTCCAAGAGTTTGACTATTACTCAATGTTTGGCTAAATAATTTTTGGGTCCAAGAAAAACTAAAAACAGAAAAATTTAAATCCTTTAGTTTTAAGGGAAATGAAGCATACTAAAATATATGCATTGATGATAAAGAAAAATTTAGATAAAAGATTTTTGTCTTAAGTATAGATATTTAAAATGTTAAGAGTCATCGCTCTAAGCATTCTCCCTAAGATTGAGAACAGCCACGAGAAATAAAGTCTGGGAAAATAATAAAGAAGAAAAATAAATAAGGTTTGGAAAATGTGAACAGGTGAACAATAAAGGAATTTAACTAAAAATTGGCCCTCTGAGTAAGCGAATCAAATTGATGATGCCACAACGATAGAGATTTTAACTAGGAAAGAGGAGGAGTGTCAGTGGGCCTGCCAGTACCACAAAGACCATGAGTGGCGGTTCTGAACAATTCTGTGCTTGGAATTTAAGACTTAAAATTATATGACAAAATATTCCTTAAAATTTGTTTTGAAAAAAACAGTGAGTAATTAAAAATATGCATCTCTTTTGAAAATCAAAGCCCGGCTTGAACAAAAAAAAAAAAAAAAAAAAAATTCTTAACCACTTAAGGAAGTAACAATACAGATGTTTAAAAAGGACTTTCCCAAAGAATAAAAGAAGATAATAATTCCTAGTAACCTTCAACTTGCTTTTTGGTTTTTCGAAACAGTTTCTCCATGTAATAATAGCCCTGGTTGTCCTGGACTCCCTTGTAGACCAGGTTGGTCTCGAACTCACAGAGATCCACCTGCCTCTGCCTCCTGAGTGCTGGGACTAAAGGCATGTGCCACCATGCCCAGCTCTCAACTTGTATTTTTTTTTAAAGAGCAATTTGTTTCATCAGACCAAAACCTGAGGTAGCTATTATGTAAAAACAAAATTAAAGGATAATTTTTCTCACAAATTTGAACACCACCCCAAACAAAATATTAGCAAATTTATCAAAATTTAAAAATTGTATTTATACTAGAAAGCAGCATGTTCAATCAATTGTCACATCAGAAGGATAAAGAGCACATAATCTTTGATAAGTCAATGAAGGCATTTGATAGATTCAAACAACCACCCAAGGATGAAACTCATAAAAAACCCAGGGAGTGAAGGAAATTGTTCTAATCACGTAGAGTGTCCACTAGTGAACAGTGATGAAGAATGAGGTAAAAGGAATGGCGGAAACTGATAAGAAAAGACAGTGATTCCTGGTCTCTCACACGCCATTAAGTCAAACCTTTGGCTGAAGCACAGGAACTAAAACTATATTGCTTCTAGACATCAACTTGGAATATATTCATGACCATAGAGCAGCAAAGGCTGACTTCTAAGCAAGGTGAAAACGAAAAATTTAACAGTCTATACTGCAGAGGCTTTCAGAGGCCCTCTGTGGCAGGTTCCAAGGTTGTTTCCTGACAGACTGTCAAAGCAGATGCTGAGCCTGATGGCCAACTGATGGGAAGAGTGAATGGAATTTTCTGTAAGAAGTGGGAAATAGTAAGAGCTGGAGGGGACGGGAACTCCACAAGGAGAGCAACAGAACAAGATAATTTGAACACAGGGAACTTCCCAGAGACTCATACTCCAACCAAGGACTATTTGTGGAGATAACCTAGAACCCCTGCACAGATGTAGCCCATGGCAGTTCATCCAAGTGGTTTACATAGTGATGGGAAGAGGGACTGCCTCTGACATAATCTGATTGGCCTGCTCGTTGATCACCTCCCCCTGATGGGGGAGCAGCCTTACCAGGCCACAGTAGAGGACAATGCAGCCACTTTTGATGAGAACTGATAGATTAAGATCAGAAAGGAGAGGAGAACCTCCCTTATCAGCGGACTTGGGGAGTGGCATGCATGCAGAAAGGGGAGGGAGGGTGGGATCGGGAGGGGAGGAGGGAGGGGCTTATGGGGGGATACAAAATGAATAAAGTGTAATTAATAAAAAATTAAAAAAAAATATTTTAAAAGAAAAACAAAATGGTAACAGGTTGTATTACAGTTAAAAATCACTGCTCATCAAGAGCTGTCATTGGAGAAATAAAAGGTATGCTATAGGACCGGGAGAAAGACATCTTTCTGAGAAGTAAGTAGTATTTATAGTGTTCACTTAGAAAGGTTACTTACAAATGAACAATACAAGAAAAATAAACAAGCAAAAGATTTAAACAAACAAAAGATATAGGGATGGTGAGTTATGTATGAAAAGACGGCTCACGTCATAAATTAGAGAGATGAGAACTAAAACCACTGTCTGACCCCACTTTCCACTCCTAATGGATCTGAAGTCAATACAACGTCCGTCACTCCATGTTAAGAAGGGAAGCAGCTGGAATGCTCAGCCTTTGCTGGCGGACTTCATGTAAAATGGCCCAGATGCTTTGGAAAGGGACGTCCTCATGTGGTAAGAGAAGTGTTTTTACTTATGTAGGTCCAAAGATTCCTCTTTTGTTTAAGCTAGTTCAAATTTAGGTCTCTCGAGCTGCTGCCAGAGAATTACTGCTGACAGAAACCGGCAAGGAGTACTGCCATGCCACTGGCTGCGTGATGATTTGATGCTGGCCAAGGAAGAGTCAGGATCACTCAACCACAGGTAGTAAGAAAAGGACGCCTTGCTCTGACGCAAATGTACAAAGCCAGCATCTCCGACCTGTGACCTAAATATCATGGCTAGCTTCACACTCTGGCTGTGCCCTTCTATTTTCGCTCTACCGTGCCCTCTGCGTACTTCAAAAGACAGCAGTTGATGTGGCTGTAAGTTAAATATTAGAAAAAAATCAATGTAATTTTCATGATGATTTGTGGGATGTGGCCATCAAGGAAATGTTATTGGCAACAGATACAGTCTAGGATTTATGTGAGATATTAAGGACAAAACTTGCTTGATGCAAGGCCACGGGATCTTAAGTAGCGGGGACATGCAAGAATATTTTGAACTGGGATTTACATACATTTAAAAATGCAAGACAAAATGCGGCCACACATCAAATGGAAAGCACATGGGGTGAACATTACCTTCAAGTTTTCGTAAACACACAAAGAACCTCCACTGCCATTGTAAGTTCTGGGTGTAGGCTCCCTCCTGTATCCTGAGTTCCTCGGGCTTTCGGTGTGGGGCAGCCAATTGATTAGCTGGGGATTCTATGAGACTTGGCATCACTTCTGCTAGAAACATTCATATTTTGGGCTCTTTACTTTTCGGATCTTAATCCGCGCTCATGCCACCCTAACACATCTCAGCGTCCTCATTTCTCCATTTGCCATTTCGTAGTATGTAGAACAAAGTCAAAAGGAAAAACAAAACAAAACAAAAATCGAGGCATACCTGTATCGTAAGCCACGATGAGTTTTTCGCTGTGATCGCCCACCGTCTGAGGCTCATAGTCAACTTCCAGCTGCATGGACTCGCCCATGTTGAGAATGGCGACCGCTGGCTCAATTGAGAAAGGCCTGCAAGACACGCGCAGACACTGTCAGAGTAGACAGCTCACCTCCAGGTTCCCGGTCCACAAGAGCTGCGTGATCTTTTTCCCCTGATGTGAAAGAAGTTGCTTTAATGTCAAGATGACAGTAGTAGGTCATCAAGGCACGAGGCTGAACAGGACCAGCCGTGTTCCTGCTTGCATTGTTATCTTTCAGTTCTTTTTCATTCGTGCGGCGTTCCTGCTGGGGATAAAATGGATAAAGCCTGCCCTCAAGACTCTGGGATTGCAGTGACGGCTAGATAGACGGCAACCTGTGTGCAAATACTGTTGTTTGTAAAAGAATACTGCCTTCAGAGGGTTAAAGTCAAGTACAGTGGGAGCTCAGAGGCGAGAGGCTCTTAATAGTGGAAAACTATCAGAGTTCCGAAAGGAAAGTGATGGCGCATTCCTACTAGGAACACTTAACAAGGTTCTATTGTAAGAAAATGGCAAGAGTGTAGAGAACTTCAAGAGATGAGGCAAGATCTGAGGGTGCTTAACAGTTGCTACCATCTATAGGCCCAAGAAGTCATGAAAAAGGGGTGGGGGGCCTTAGAGACCTGAAGAGGAACTCCAAGAGAAGGCTGCCTGGGGAGCTAAAGGAGGCAGTCGGCCTAGGAAGCTGGGCAGTGACAGCGGAGCAGACGACACCACGATGGTTACTCTCATTGCCAAGTTGACTTCAGCTTTAAATCACGGAGCAGACTACTGAGGCACACTTCTAGGTAAGTCTGTGAGCGTGCTTCCGCAGAGGCTTGACTAAAAGCCGAAGCCCTGGTCTACCGGCAGGCGGCACTATCCCACGGCCTAGGGACCCAGTGGAAGAAAGAGGAGAGAAGGAAGAGGCCAGCAAGGCTTGTCCGCCGCGGTGCTCTGAGCCGGGTGCTGTGGCGCACACCTGTAATCCCAGGACTCGGGGAGGCAGAGGCAGGCAGATCTCTGTGAGTTCGAGGCCAGCCTGGTCTACAAAGTGAGTTCAGGACAGCTAAGGCTACACAGAGAAACCCTGTCTCGAAAAACAAAACAAAACAAACAAGAAGAGTCTTGCTCCTCCCTTCCCTCTCTGCCATTAAAGACTTGAGGCAATGTCAGTTCTTCCTTGCTTAAGTTATCTCTGGCAGGTGTTTTGTGATGGTTTCATGAAAAGTAACTGACCCTACGACCCCCCCCCCCCCCCACGTTGGCTGAATCCAACCAGAAGCCAAAAGGCCAACTGATCGCCGTCACAGAGGTCAGCTTCCTGGGCATGCGCAGAGGAAGAGGGAGACCAGCACAGAAGGTGAAGGGAAATAGAGCAAGCTCTGCATCTTGAATATAAAACTGGAGACACGGGGTGCTTCTGAGCAGTGGGAGATAGCTTCACTTTCCTATCCTGGAAGAAAATCGCAAGGGGACCCAATCAACAAACACTTTGAACAACGCATGGAGCTCTTCCTTCTAAACCGGAAATCCAACCCATTTAATTATTTTCATGATCTAGTTCACATCTTTAAATTGCTAATTTTTCAAAGTCATGTGTTGGGCAGTGTGGCTGACAGGCTAAGCTGTTTCTGAGTACTTACTTCTAAGATGACAGCGTTTAGAATCATCACCCCTTCAATCTGCCTGTAGATAATGAACTCAGTTTCTGAGGACCTAAGCTTTCTGCCAGGAGGGTACAGAGCAGACACAAGAGTCGCATTAGGTGGTACCTGAGATCATTCACTAGGACCTCTGTGGCCTCCAGTGATAATACCTCTTTGCTTTCTCTGCTGTCCCCACTCCCCACCCCCGTTTGGATCTCTTCTTCCATTCCTTGATCTTCCTTTCTCTCTCCTTTTCTGGTTCTCATGATACCAGCTCTGCAGGGAGCCGTTGGCATCACTGTAGGGTACCCCAGAGTCGTCTGCTTCTAAACTGACCTCTGAGTGAGCTCGAGTTATTTAAATCGGTTTTCTTATCTAGGAAATGGGTCAAGGCAGCACCTGCCTGATAAGGTTACAGCGTGGAGTAGGGGGGTCAATACAGGTAAAGTTTTGGGATGATGTCTGGCGCGTGGGGTCTTGTACAAATGTCCACTGTTACTGTTATTTTATCTTCACCAGCATTCCAGCGATGCTGGAAGAGGAATGGAAAGATACACTCAGCTGTTTTCTTAAGTTCAGACTTTTATCACTGCCCCTTTCACCTTCATTCAGCTCTGGGGAGCTGGTAACACACAGGCGCGCACGAACACACGAACACACACACACACACACGCACCACATTCCGTTAGTCTCCTGCTTAAACACCATTACTGGTCCTTGTGATCTGCGCAATAAAGGTCAAACCTGCAATATTCAAAGTCCCATACGATCTGCTCCTGCCCAGGCTTTTGCGTCCTGCTTACACACATTCATATGTGCCTAGTCTCCTGTACACCTGTCACACTCCCAGCTGGGGTGGGGTAGGTAGGAAGCTTTGCTCCCTTCACCTACACAGTCCCCCAAGCACTGCTCCTGCTTGTCCAAACAGACAGCGCCTCCTAAATGGACAACCGGGACTGCCAGGATCCTGTCCAAAAATGTACCACTTCCCTCATGTAATACCCCTTTGGCCATCACTCATCACGGCTCAGATTCGAAGTCAAAGAGAAGACTGCAACCGCTGAGTTGGTCTGCTTGGAGGGTATTGTTCCTGAAAATTCCAGTTTCCTCCTTTCCTCGGGGGAGTTCTTACCCACCGAGAGAAGAAGCCACGAATGTGAATTCCAGTGCAGGATTAACTGCAAGCAGAAGCAGGAAGCAGGAAGGACCAGGTAGAAGGGCCTGGCTGGGGCACGCATTCTGTCATGGAGCTGTTCTACACACACCAAACTTCTAACACGTTCAAAACACCTTGGGTAAGCAGGTAACCATTTGACTTTTAAACTTGACAAAATAGGTGCCCCCCCCCCCCCAAGAGTGAGTAAGATGTGTATGGTTGTCCAACCCAGGCAGAAATGGGGTTGGGAGTGAGATTTGCCACCAGGCTGGTACTTTCTGTCCACCCCAAGCCTCTTCTGCATGTGGGAGTCCTGTGTGTGTACTGATATCTATGTCTCTGTCACCCATACCACCCTTTAACCAGAGGACCATACAAAACAGGTGGCTAGATGGGATTACAATAAAATACTGAGGGAGTCAAACCCCGGGCCTTTGCACGTGCTAGACTAGCACTCTGAACTGAGCTGCACTCCTTAGCCCACAGTCAAATTGCAAAGGCCAAGAAAACATTTGCCATCATTCATTAATTTTTATAATGTCTTGGAATAGAAAAGGAGTAAACACTCAGAAGCCAAAAATGATGAGTCTTCCAGTCTGAGGTCCTCCCTTCAGGCTCTGTAAGACCCTGACTCCAGAGGGGCCCAGGTTCCTGGCTTTGAGAATAACATGACAGTGACTTCTAGCTTTGGCTCTTTCCCTGATGCTATCTTCTTTTGTACCCCCTGCACTTTCAGTTTCCTCTCAAATACATCTCAGTAGCAAAAGAACATTTTGAAATAAATGACTTGGAGGATATCTTATCTCAGAGCCTCAGCTGATCTCCTATATAGAAGGTGACACCAGGGTCAGGTCTCTGGGACCTGCAGGAGTCCAAATTCTATAGAGCAGTAATGGATACTTTCACTGCCTGTTAATTATTGGTTTTAGATTACACTGAACTTCTTCAGCAGTGAGAGGAGTCACCTGGGATCGCCTTTGCCTCTTGGAGCTGCCCAAGCTCTCTCAATAAATCAGATGCTAATTGGGCAGAGTGTGTTAGGTGGTTGTGCTTAAACACTGCCCGTAATTTGATTTTGCACTTCATTTTCCTAGAGGCCTTCAGGCTGAACTGCCTGCAAAACATCCAATGTCAGGAAACACTCTTACAAAGAAAGTGAGAAGCGGTAATCCTCCGGGGCCCAAGGCAGGTTCTGTCTATTCAACTGTTTGGTTTTGATAGGACACCATCATTTATATCAGATTCTTAATTATGGTCTTGTGAAAACCCATGAATCTGGCCTTGGTATATTAAATAGTACCTTTTCTCCCCATGGTTGAGCTATTTTGCTTCTAACTTGAGCTTTTGGTCTTTAAATTGCTTCTCAATCTTTTCTCCTCCACTTCCCAGTATTAATCCCACTTTAAGAGCCAAAGTTATTGTGTGACCTGCTAGAGTTCTAGGTCAAATTTGTAATAAAGCTGAATGGTAATTGTTTATGTTCTCTCTCTATTTTATAGCACACGCAGCTCCTTATATTAGTGCGGAAGCCATTATGCTCCTTTTATAGTCTTTGGAACATGTATTTTTAGTTTAAGTTATTGTGGAGGTTTACAATAGCAGCTTTGCCTGTGAGATATATTGTCGGGCAGGCATCCTATAAACATTTATTGAGCACTTATTTATTCTAGACATTTGCTAGATGCTGAGCACATACAGACGAAAGAGTCAGATACAACTCTTATATCTGAGAAGCTCACAGATGCATGAGGAAAGTCTTCTTTTTATCATTTATATAAAGCTAATCATCTTAGAAATGAGTTAAATCATCATGTAAATGAGAAAAAGAGCAAGATCTGTTTTTAAATAGAATTTCCCATAAGATACTGTTTCTCATTGTATCCTGTACCTGAAAGTGTTCAGACAAAGAGGTGAGGCTTTTGATAGTCCCCAACAGCCACCCCCTCCCACCTCTATTGTATCTATTGACAGGGACACTCTGTCTGGGGGGCCAGAAACACCTGAGTGGTTTTTAGAAAGGACCCCCTACTGGGGATCTCTGCAGAGAGTCGGATCCAAGGATCCAACAACAATTACAAACCCAAGCACGGCTCTGCTCTCTGAAGTCAAGAGGAGTCTCAGTTGCAAACAACAGAAGCCAACTGTAGCTAATTCAGACAAGGGATTGCTGGAAAGATTTGGGGCAGTTCACAGCCCTGGCAATGAGGTTGCAAATCATCAGGTTTGTGGAAGGGCATGAAGCTACAATTTCATAAAGAATGTGAAGAAGAATTTTCAAAGTGAGGATTCGAGAGACTTGGCTATACAAAAGATGGGCACACAGAGAAACCCACCTTAACAGAGTGAGGGATGGCTAACAGCAGTTAAGATATTCCGGTCCTTAACTGCTGGAAGCGAAAGGAAGGAGGAAGCAGTGCTATCAGCTCTTGGAGCCAGGAGAAGCTGGAACCATAGCAGGCCAATCTGATGGTAGCTGGGACCAGCGTGGAGATGGGTCTCAGATGAAGATGGAGAGGGAGTAGAAACACCCCAGTGCCCTTCATACTGTCCTCTAGTCTCCCTCTGGCAACAGACACAGTGGAATCTAATGATGCAGGAGGCTAGGAAGGCCATGGCCCACACAGTGAAGAAAACCTTCAGCTGTAAAGTGGGAATGTTGGACCAGCATCTCTAATGCCCATGATTCTCCATTGGTCACTGACTTTACTCCGCATTTTAACCCAGAATTACTATGTTAAGAAAATAGGATGGTTTGTTCAAGTTAAATGGTTAAATGAATGGAAATGTTGTAACTCTTTTTCAGCAACATTACACTGTTGAATGAGGGGTTTGTTTTGTTTTGTTTGGCTTGGCATTTACATGTATCTAATACATAAGGAATTGGTAGGTGAAAAACGTAAGAGTTAGCCAACCAGTCCAGGAAGATAATCTGTCTGCATTTGTTTTTTTCATAGTGGGTGACTTCCTTACAGATAAAAATATCAATAGGCTGAGTTTTAAATATTTTATTGATATGTGTATGTGTGTGCCTGCAGGAGTTTATATTGCACCATGAACGTGCAGAAGCCAATAGGGGCCAGAAGAAAGTAATGGAGCTAAAGGTGGATGCAGCTCTGTGGAGGTAAACAGCTCCTCAGGAGAGACGCATCCTTCAAGCAGGAAGAGGATTCTACAAGGAAAGCCCTTCTAAAAATGAGCTCTCAAAGCGTGAGTCGCAGGAAAACACCTGATGTCCTGCCTCTTCTCTGGGTCACCATTGCTTTTAAGACTCCCACCCCCCCACACACACAGATAACCACCATTTTCACACTTATTTCAAATTGTGTGAATATGCACGTTGAGGGAAGAATAGTGTGTGCGTGTAAGTACAGTGTCCACAGAGACCGGAAGGAAGCATTGTGACACCCTAGATCTGCAGTTTCAGGTGGTGGTGATTACCCAAAGTGGGTACTGGGAACCGAAACCTGGTCCTCTGCAAGAGGGACACACATTTCAAACCCTGAAGCCATCTTCCCAACCCCTCAAACACCATCCATATGCCCATAAAAAATGGTTCTTTTTCGTCTTTAAAATATTTATTTGTTTGCTTATTATTACTAGTGTATATTTGTGTTCATGTATGCCATGGTATTCATGTGGAGGCCAGAGGACAGCTATGTAGAATTAAATGTTCTCCAACCGCATCTAGATAGGTTCCAGGGATTAAAGCAGGTTACCAGGTTTGCTTTAGGAAAGTCCCTTGAGAGCAGAGACAGCCTCACTTTACATTATTCCACAGGGTCTAGAACACTGTAGAAACTCAATAAAATTCCAGATTAAAAGCAAACTCCATCACCTATTACCCTTCTGTCCTTGACACAACCTCTCTCACATAGTTTTCTCATCTTCAAAGCCAGTAGTATCAGGCTGAGTTCTCCATGCAAATGTTAACTCTGAACTCTGCTCTATTTTTCAGGAATTCTGGAAGTTACTTTGGGCCTACCCGGTGAACCTAGGTTGATCTGTCCCATTTTGTTTGTTTGTTTGTTTGTTTGTTTGTTTGTTTTGAGACACAGTCTCTCTACATAGCCTTGACTGCCCTGGAACTCACAGAGATCTGTCTGCCTCTTCCTCCTAACTGATGGGTTCAAGGTGTGTGCTACCACACAGGGCCTGACTCTGTCCCATGTTAAGATCAGCTAATTAGCAGTCTTATCTGCACCTATGAACTCAGTCCCTTCTCACCATGTAACATTTCATAGACAGAGGTACTAAGTATTGTTGGAACATGGGCTTGTACCTTTAAGTCCAATCCCATAATCTGAACCATGCCACGACTTCCTGAAGCTCTCTCTGGGACAGAGTGAAACAGTGTGTCCTGTGACTTGACAGATACCTAGCCCTTCCATGCTCCTTGTAATTTTTGCTATGCTGAACTAAATCACATGATGTGAAATTTTCTGCAACCCCTAAAAATTATCAAAGTCAGATTCCTTTTTTGGGGGGTTGGTATAAGACTCCTTAGGAAGATAGGTCTGAGACCCCCAAGGAAGTCTGCTTGGGGATTTGGTCCAGGGATGGAGGCTGCTTTCTGAGGAGGCCTAAGGAGTCTGTTCTCCTTGCAGGCCTCCAGAAAGGATATGGCTTGCTGACATCTGCTGCAATGTTGAGATTATCAACTTATATTGTTCGAAGTCACTAAATGTATGATAATCTGGTACATCATCCAAAGCAAACTAACCTAGCCAAAAGAATTCTTGGTCAAGAAGTCTGTAAATCCCCATGGGTGATTCTATGTATTAAGAAGGTAAAATTTGGTAAGAAATATGGTAAGCCTGAACTGTTCAGTTCCTTCAGGAAGAAGACACAGTCTGATCTTCGTCAACTCGGTCTCCTAGCTGCACAGCTGACGCTGTAACCAGCAACACCACCCCCAATGCTATTCCAGCAAATTACTTGTGCCAGCCAGAGTTAGCTGTAATCAATCAAAGGTAAGAGCTGCAGGAATGCGTACCTTTGAGTTTTGAGGCGGAACACAGAGTCTTTGTTGCCAATGTTTCGGACCAGCAGAATCTTCTGAGTGCTGTATTTCACAGGGCAAGTGGAAAAATTCAGCTCATCGGGAAAGTCCAGGATGGCTCGAGCTCCTCTAGCTTTGATGGGCACAACAAACTTTTCTCTCTCAGTGATACAGGTCAGCATGTGGGCGTAATCCTGCCAGGGAAGGGCACAGCCATTATCTGTGGGAACACCAGCATGGTCAAGGTCGCTGTGAAAGGAAAGCTAGGGATCATGGCAGGCATTGTGCAAGCGGAGGTGTGCTGTCTTTCACTGGCATTCTTCTTGCTGAGAGGAGGGCAGGTCTAGGGTCAAAACCCGTAAGCCAGTATAGGAGCTTGGAGGTCACGTTTCTCTGATGGTTGGGAGGTGAGGCAGGGGATGATGAACAGTATTCTTTAGATTAAAAGATTGCTACTAGTCCCCCATGTCTGCCTTCTACAAGGGGTGCTCAAACTTTTGGTATTACAATATGACACTGTGGTGTAAAAATGTGTTGGGGTGCATTCATAGTGTTGTAGAGTATGGTCTTCTGTGTGAAACAGCTACTGTATTCATTGGCTCCCTGGTGCCTGCTTGCAAGAAACCAACACCATCAGGCTTGTGGACTGCTGGAGCTGTCATAGGAGGAGGAGCTGGAGAGAGTCACTGGGCCTTATCTGAGGTACCAGCTGTTTCCCCCAGACATTCTGCCCTAATTGCGTGTGGCCCATGACCTCAGAGGCCTCTCAGAGAAGAGCTGGAGTAGCTAGGCTAGGTAAGATTAACAGAAGGGAAAATTATCCATGCTCAGCAAAGTCTTTCCAGTACACTGTTTGGGGGTTACCTACGCTTTTATAGGTAACTCCTCTTGAAAAACTCATTGGTTCCTCGGGTTATCTCTGGTGGAGGAACTGTATTCTGATTTGTTGTTGGGATCTCATACAGATGGGGTAGGCCTTGTTTATGACTTCCCGGGAAGAACTTCTCCCAACACATAGTTTATTCTGGGATATTAGAACCACTGGCTATAGGTTGAACACACCTGTATCTAAACCCTATTTATTCTTCCAACTCATGTGTTTGGATTGGTGATTCTGATGAACGGTCTCTTCACATTCATGTTCTTTGTAATAGGGCTCTGCACTCATCCATCAGGAGTGAAGGATGTCATTGAACCTCTTGCTTTGAACAATAGAAAGGACCATGTGCTGTTTTGAACTGAAGCTTCCAGAAGATTTTGATATTTCTAGTTGTGCTCTTGGGACCCTGCTACTGTCATGTGAACAAGTCTGGTCTAGCCTGCTGCAGGATGAGAGCCTGGATATCCCACCCAGGGCCAAACCAAACTAGCCTCAGGCGGTGCATCCCAGAGATGTGAGAGAGCTCAGCCTGCCTCCAAGAAATATTCTGAGTGCAAACACTTCCTGCCACCCTGATCCTAGCACTACAGTTTTTCCGGGGCTAATGGGACCCTCCTCATTCAAAGTCCATTTCCATGCAAGGGCCAGAGAAATCCAGTTAAGGTGTAAGTCAGTTCAGAGAGTGCCTCCGCTCAAGGTCAGCCAGGCTGAGGGCTGGGTGCTCTCCAGGACTCCAAAGTGAGGCCTCTGCCCCTCCCCCAGCCACATCGCTGCCTGCCCTGTGCACTCATCTCTGAAGCTACAGTCCCTCAGTCCCACTCAGGGCCTCCACATGTGATGTTTGGTCCATCTAAACCTGGCTTCCTTCTGGTTCCTTCTGGGGCTTTTTTCCTTCGTCTTGTCAGGACATGTACAGCTGTCCACTCTCACACGGAGACCTCACTGTCTGCCCCATCTAAGCTCAGCTCTCCCAACTCACTGATTTCTGGGCATCCAGAACTACTACCTCACAGCCTGGACTCTGCAAACATTTAATGAATATTTTTTGAATGAAGGGCAATTGGGAATACAACATTGGATAGTGGTGAATAAAAAATACACAAATAAGCTACAAATAAATAAAGTATGATTAGAAGAATACTTGTGGGAAGGATGCCATGAAGGACCTTCACAAACAGGAAGCATGTCAGCCAAGACCAGAGTGAGAGATGAAGCTCTGTGGCTGAATGGCTCTCTGGGGGAAGCATGACTTAGAGGGAAACAAACTGTGGCCAGAGGGAAACAAGGAGGGAGAAGAAGACCTAGAAGAGGTGGGGGAGGGCAGCGCAGGACACAGAGCATCTTCTAAGCCAGTGGCAGGACCTGAGGGTGACAGGAAGCATTACCAGTGTGGGAATCTGATCCCCATAGCTTAGGAAAAGCACTGGCAACCATGTGGACACTGGACTGTGAGGGGACTTTAGTAGAGAAAGATGGGCGAGTAGGAGGTCACCACAGTAGTCCCAGGCAATAGACGATACTGAACCATGCGCTAATGTGCTCACTTAGTTTGTGTCTGTCAAGGAGGAAGTTCTCCATAAATGAGACCTGTCGTGATCAACCTCACATATTGAACACAGTGCTGGGTGAAAGCCACGCAGTGACCGGTCAACGCGTGTTCACCGGTCAACGTGGTGTTGGTCTGATAATAATGGCAATACTAGAAATGACCCTAGGGGTAGGACAGGGTTAAGTTTAGAGCACAGTGAGAGCTCTGAGAAAGTCATTGCCCAGAGCTCTGGTAGTTAGAGTCAGAAGTGTCTCCCATAGTCCCAGGCAGCTGAACACTTGGCCCCAAGTTGGTGGTGGTATTTGGGGATGCTTAGATAGTGTGGCTTTGCTGGAAGAAGTACGCCACCGCTGGTGGCTCTGAGAGCTCATGGTCTGCTCTCTCTGCGTCATGCTTAATGCTTAAGATGCGTGCCCTCGGATTCCTGCTCCAGTGGCCGTGCCCGCCTGCTGCCGTGCCTCCCTGACAGTGACTGTGACGGAGCCTTATCCCTCTGGAACAGCAGTCCCAAACAAACCCTCCATTCTGTAAGTTGCCTTGAATGTGGTATTTTATCACAGTAGAAAAGTAACTAAGACAAATGCTGCTGTGGGAAGGGACAGGTTAGTCTGAAATAACCAAGAGAGCCTCCCGGAGGAGGCAACCTTTGGATGGAGAGCTGAAATGCACAAGGAGCTAAAGCGGGAGAGAGCCAGGAACAGGGTGTTCCTGGCAAGGGGGACTGTGAACATAAAGTCTTCAGGTAGGCGTGTGCAATAAAAATTAATGAGCAGTTCTATCAAAGTGTATGAAAGTTCAGTTGTTGGGCTCTTAGCTTTGCAATTGACTTTGCTTTTCAGATAGCAAAGCCAAACTTGGGAATGACGACACCCAGACAGAAGGAAGTCCAAATTACACCAAAGTATTTGATCTTAGGAAAGCCCTTAGACTCTAATCGCATGACTGTTTAGTCGGATGAGAGCAGGGTCCTAAAGAGGAGGTGTGGCTCTCGCTTTCCCCACCCCCTTAGGTACTCAAGCCCAGACAGCAAAGGTGTTGTTGGGAATTACAAACTGGAAAGCAGTTGGGAGACTATTAATTAAAGCATGGAGAAGTGCTGCCGAGCAAGGCTCAGGGGCCCTCCCGGGGTGCTCTGATTTTAGTTTTAGATGCACGCATGTCTCATGTCTTGCTCTCTAAGGGGTTTGACGCACATAGCAATGCTGACCAGGCTGATTGACATGGTAAAGGGATGTTTTGGAATCACAATTAGGCTCCCCCCCCCCGTCTTAGTTGATTCCCACATCCAGAAAAGAACAAGACAATTTTTGAACAGTTCCTTTAAAACACACTCCAATATGGATTAGGCATATAATATATAATATTAGCTTATGTAACATGCCATTATATATTGCTTTACTGGGTGAACTGGGAGCAATTACCCCAGCTGATGGAATCCCTTTCCCTGTCCTGAGATACAGAGCAACCAGGTCACCAAAGGCGGGGCATTTGTTCCAAGCTCTTTCTCTTCTACTATGACAGACTCAGTCACGAATCACTCTACATCCTGAAAGCCTACCCCAGTAACAGCACTCTCTGGACGGCCTTCTTTCTGAACCCCACACTCCACCCCCACCTACCCCACACACACTTCAAACCTTGAAAACAGCAGGAAAATATTAGCAGAGAAGATTTGACTTTCTGTGGGTGAAAAGGATAAACCCTGACTTTTACATCAGTTCCCCCCACCCCATAGAAGGCAAACATGGCTGGAATTCTGTCCTCTGGAGACTCAGCTGAGGGAAACGATGTCTTCAACTCCAACCAATAACTCTATGTCAAGGGCAAGGCCAACGTAGTTAAACCCTCCCATCTCCTCTCTCCCTTCTCTCCACTGCTAAGTGTATTGGGGAAAATGGCAATAGAGTGAAACCAGATCTGACTGAAATTGGCCACTTAAACCCGTGGCACCCCTGGATAACCCGCTCAGTTCCTTGGCTCATGGCCGGTATTTGTTAGATAGTAGCTTCTTGATCTCAGATTCTCCCTCCAAAGGAAAGTCCTTGCTTTAGAAATCCCAGTGAGTTTAAAAATGGGATTGGCCAGATATCCTGGATTTGGCCTGTGCCTTGGTAGCACATCCTGTGGTCCAGCTGAGGTCTCAGCATCCTGGGGACAGCTACATTCCTCCATCTAGTAAGAATGACTTCTGGCAACCTTGAAACCTGCCACAGAGGGCCTCTGAAAGCTTCTGCAGTATAGACTGTCAAAGCAGATACTGAGCCTGATGGCCAACTGATGGGAAGAGTGAATGGAATTTTATATAAGAAGTGGGAAATAGTAAGAGCTGGAGGGGACGGGAACTCCACAAGGAGAGCAACAGAACAAGATAATTTGAACACAGGGAACTTCCCAGAGACTCATACTCCAACCAAGGACTATTCATGGAGATGACCTGGAACCCCTGCACAGGTGTAGCCCATGGCAGTTCAGTGTCCAAGTGGGTTACATAGTTATGGGAAGAGGGACTGCCTCTGACATAATCTGATTGGCCTGCTCGTTGATCACCTCCCCCTGATGGGGGAGCAGCCTTACCAGGCCACAGAAGATGACAATGCAGCCACTCCTGATGTGATCTGATAGACTAAGATCTGAAAGAAGAGGAGAACCTCCCCTATCAGTGGACTTGGGGAGTGGCATGCATGCAGAAAGGGGAGGGAGGGTGGGATCGGGAGGGGAGGAGGTAGGGGCTTATGGGGGGATACAAAATGAATAAAGTGTAATTA